GGAAGGCTACTGCAGTGATACAGGAGAGAGATGGCAGTAATTGTGGCTTATGCCCAGAGGAGTAGCTGTGAAGATGGAAGGAGAGGTTGGATTCTGCATATATTTTAAAAATAGAGTAAAAAATGTATTCTAGTGAATTCAGAGTAGGAGTGAAAAAAAAGAGACAAGGTTTTTGACCTGAGCAACCGGGGAATGGCCCTGTCTTTACTAGATGAGGAAGACTGTAAGAGGAGGTTGGAGGCAGAAGCAGGGGACAGGGGATGGGGAAGCTCTGTGTTTAGGCCTTAGATATGCTAAGTTTGAGATGCCATATTAGACATCAAGTAGAGATGCCAAGTAGAAAGCTAGACATACAAACCTGAGGTTCAAGAGAAAGGTCCAGGTTGGAGATATAAATTTGAGAGTCCTCAGGGAATAGAAGGGATTTGATATACTGGATAAGATGACCAGGGGAGTGAGTGTAGATAGAGAACAGGTATTAGGAATGGAGCCTTGGGGCCCATTGACAGTTAAAAGGTCAGGGAGATGAGGAGGAACCAGCGGCAAAGACTGAGAAGGACCGGCCAGAGAAGAGAAGGAAAACCAGGGGATTCCCTGGAAGCCAAGGGAAGAGAGTATTTTAAGGAGGGAGGGATCAGCTGGGCCAGATGCTGCAGACAGGTCAAGCAGGATGAGCACTGGGTCTGCGGCAGAGGTCACCGATGACCGTGACAAGAGCAGTCTGTGTGGAATGGGAGAGGCAAAACAACAAAACTTGGATTCAGAGAAAATGGGAGGAGAGGATTTGGAGACAGCAAGTAACAACTCTTTTGTGATGTGCCGCATTGGGAAACAGGGAAATGGGAGGTAACGACAGGGGGCTATAGGGTTGTGAAAGGATTTTATGATGAAACAACAGCATATCTGTATGCTGATGGGGATGATCTAGTAGAGAGAGAAAACTAATGACATGGGAGAGAGGGGAGAATTGCTGGGGTGAACATCTAGAGTAAATGAGAAGGGATGATGGAAAAATCAAAAACACTAGTTCAAAAAGACACATGCACCCCCAGGTTCATAGCAGCACTATTTACAACAGCCAAGACATGGAAACAACCCAAGTGCTCATGAACAGATGACTGATTTAAGAAGATGTGGTACATGTATACAGTGGAATATTACTCAGCCATAAAAAAGAATGAAATATTGCCATTTCAGGCAGTGCTGATGGACCTAGAGAATATCATACTAAGTGAAGCCAGACAGAGAAAGACAAATATTGTATGATATGACTTATATGTGGAATCTAAAACACAACACAAATGAATCTATATACAAAACAGAAACAGACTCATAGACACAGAAAACAAATTTATGGTTACTACTTTATTGCTTTCTTAAAAAAGAGAGATGAAAAAAGTATATATTTGTTTTACCTCATCAAGATCTTTGGTCTCTCTGCCCAATTCATCATCATCTTCATCAGAATCAAGCTCTGGTCCAATATAATTCCCAAACTCATCATACAAGTCAGTATCCATGATGCTAAAATTCAAGGAGAAGAGTTAGATGCTGGCAAGGTAATCAAGGCCTCCGCCCTAGCCTGTGGCTGACCATATCCCACACACAGTCTCCTCTCCAGTTACATCAACCCACTGACTGCTCCTCCAAAGCCCTGCATCTTCCCCTCCTGTCTGTTCCACTCCTGTTTCTGTTTACATATACTTCACCCACTTCTTTTTTCTAATACTAAACAAATTTTAATTTTAAAATAATTAAATACCAGAAAGTTGCAAAAATAGTACACATAACTTTCTTTCTCCTAAATTATTTGCAAATAAGTTGCTGACACAATGTCTCATCGCCTCCTCATACTTTAGTGCAGCAGTTGGTAAACTATAGCCTGTGGCCAAATCTGGCCTGCCAACTATTTTCAAACAGTCCTGAAGGTACGATGTTTGTTATTATTTTTAAATAGTTGAAAAAAATCAAAAGAATAATATTTCATGACACGTGAAAATTAATTACATGAAATTCAAATTTCAGCATCTATAAAAACAGCATTATTGGAACACAGCCATGCTCATTCTTTTATATTGTCTGTGGCTGCTTTCACACTGTAACAGCGGAGCAGAGTAGCTGCCACTGAGACCATATGGCCCACAAAGTCTAAAATATTTACTATCTAGCCCTTGACAGACAAAGTTTGCCAACCCCTGCTTTTAGTGCATGTGATTCCTACAAACGAGGACATTCTCCTACATAACCACAATACAACCATCAAAATCAGAAAACACTGACATATTACTACCACCTAACCCACAGGCCCCCATTCAAGTTTCACAGACTGTTCCAATAATCTCCTGCACAGCAAAGGAGCCAATCCAGGATTCCATGTTTGCATTTAGCTGTCATGTCTTTAGTCTCTTTCAATCTGGAACAGTTCCTTGGTCTTTCCTTTGACTTCTGTGACTTGAAACTTTTGCAGATTATAGGCTAGTGAGTTTGTAGAATGTCCCTTAATTTAAGTTTGCCAATGTTTCCTCATGATTAGATTCAGGTTATGCATTTTTTGGCAAGAATATCACAGAAGTAATGCTGTGCTCTTTTCAGTGCATCTTCTAACAAGTGGCATATGATTTTAATTTGTCCCATCAGTGGTGATGTTAACTTCACCACTGATTATGGTGGTGCCTACCAGGCCTTTCCATTGTAAAGTTACATGCTTTCTCTTTGTAATTAGTAAGTATTTTGTGGGTTGTCTCCACTTCAATTCCAGAAATTCTACTCAAAGTAACAGGTCAAATACCACCTCCTTCAAGCCTTCCTATAGCCTCAATTTCTCACTCTCCTATACTGCTGTAGCCTTTAGTGTCTTTATCAGCATTTAATTCTGTCATGAATGGTAGTTAACTGTACTAATTACCCTCACCAACACCTCTACAGCTTACAGTAATAGGCAACAGACCAGAGTGTGGGTTAATGGTCAGGGCTCTGGAATTGGAAGACCTAGATTTGAATCCCAACTTTGTCACTTAATAACTATGTCATTTCAGGTTATTTCACCTCTCCAAGCTTGTTTCTTTAATTGGAAAATAAAGTGATTAATCCCCATTGCATAAAGGGTTATGAGAACTAAGCAAAATAGGCTGTGTAAACAATTTATTACAGTTCCAGGCTCAATAAATGTTAGCTAGCATTATTTTTTGGCCATTCTTGAATACAGGAACCCTGCGTTCCTTGTGCCCACCTGCCAATGACCAAGACAGCGCTTCACCTAAGTAGAAACTGGATAAATGTTAACTGAACAGAATGTTTAATTTTGAAATACTGATACTTCTTTCATGAGGCTAATCCCGCCACCTCCCTCAATGCCCCTGTTGAGTGCTAACCGTGGATAAAATAGAGAATTAAGAGCTCCAAGCACTAATAATTAAATGTAAATTATTACAGAAACTTTCATATGCATAGAGATTCTTTTTACTTCCAAAGAGCTACCACACCTGTGCACATTTCATTCTCCCAAGACACCCATGAAATGACTGCAGAAATTTTTACAGAATGTCCATGGAACAACCCACCTCATTTCTGCTTCAGGGCCACTGCACTTACTGTCCTCTTCCAAAATGCTCTCCCCTTGGGCATGTATGCCTTGTTCCTTCATCTCACCCTGGTCTCTACTATATAAAACGTTATCTTCTCTGAGAAGCCTTCCCTTGTCACTCTAAAAAAAGCTCCACCTTGGGCTTCCCTGGTGGCGCAGTGGTTGAGAGTCCGCCTGCCGATGCGGGGGACGAGGGTTCGTGCCCCGGTCCGGGAGGGTCCCACATGCCGCGCCATGGCCGCTGAGCCTGCGCGTCCGGGGCCTGTGCTCCGCAGCGGGAGAGGCCGCAGCAGTGAGAGGCCCGCGTACCGCAAAAAAAAAAAAAAAAAGCTCCACCTATACACACATTCTCCAACCCCCACTTTCATTGTTTTATTATTTTTATTAACATTTATCATTAACTGACACGTATCTATTCGTGTATTTACTGTCATCTCTCCAACTACAGTTGAAGCAAGGGCTGTTTTTTTTTCACTTAGAACGGTGCCTGGCACAAAATAGAACCTCAATCAGCATTTGCTCAATGACTAAATGAGTGACTCCAACAAGGCACCCAGAAGATAGCTGACTTGCCCACAGTTGCACAAATTAGTTAATTTCGGTACCAAACTTCACCGCAGCTTCCCGCTACAACGCAGGCTCTCCAAGAAAAACAGAGTAAGGACGGAGAGAGCTTGGTAGAGAAAGGGTGAAGGCGGCACAGCTGGAAGAGGGAGTGAGACAGGTGCATGGACAGCGCAAGAACGACCCCTGCCCCGGGAAAGGGTTTTAAAGATGGACAGGAGGGAACCCCGGAATCTGTGTGTGTGTGTGAGGGCGGTGTGGTAGGGCCTTCATTCCCTTTCCCGCCTCATCTGTAAAGTGAAAGGAGAAGATAGCATATAACGTCTCCTCCACATCTGCCATTATTTAATTTCCCATCCCACAGGAGCAACCTTCCCATGCCGTGGACCCGCGTCAACTCACCTCCCGCTGCTCAGCCAGAAACTCCGAGTAGGCCGCCGGAGACCGCGCTTCCGTCCAACGCCGCCGCACCGCCTGCGCCCGCTATTCGGAAGGACCCCGCAGGCGCCGCGGTCGCGTTTCTGCCTCGGAGGACAGCCCTTTGCCTGTGGACCAGCTCGGAAGAATGCCGGCCGCGGACACAGGAACCTGCGAGGCGGAGTTGTGGGTCCCCAAACCAAGGCGTGGGCTGCTCCAAAGAAAACAAGGTCCGAGGAGGCGAGAATCTGATCAGGCGCCTCGGGGCTACCCTGACGGGGGCCTTCGGGGAGGTCACGTGGGCAGGCTGTTAGAGCAGTTGCTGGGCAACCACAGCTGCTGGGCGTGGTCTACGCTGAGCAGACGTGATCTGGCGGTAACTGGGGATCCCCAAAGAAAGGAAACCAGGGTGCTGGCTGCTGGGGTGAAGGTCAGGGGGCAGGAGGATTAGGTGTTCTATTTATTCAGTGACTGGCAAGGGCTCAGAACTAGACAGGAGCCAGGACACCTGAGTTCAGTTCCTGGCCAACCCAGCCTCCTTCTTGGTCTTCAAGCTTACCCATGTTGGAGTGGAGGGGGAGGGAGGGGTTGGTTGTAGACCTCAAGCTTCCCGGCCCTAGGGCTGTTGATGATGACTTCACCACGTAATCTAGCTTAGTGCACTAGGAGTCTGATGGTCAAAGGGGTCTCACAGTAAGGAAATGCTAGAGCCAAGACTAGAACCCATATAGGTGATCTCCGTGTAGAACGGGTCAATCAGCCTCAGATATGCGGAGGCTGCAGAAGTACAGTGGCAGAGCTAAAGAGGTTGCCCAAGAACCTAGGAATCTGTGCTCCAGCCCTGGCTGGACAGAGGGATTTGGAAACGGGGATCATTGAGCCCCTTCTTCTGCCACCTCTACTTGATTTCCTGCTCAGTCACTGAATCTGGTTTGGGTGGAAAGTATCATTCCTCGTTAAAGACATTTAACAATGAGTGGAATTTTATCCCAGGGCTCAAGAGTAGGTTACAATAGTTCTGCTTTTGTGTGAGGGCCTCTATCACAACTCGCTATAGAGTGAGTCCATGTGGAAATGTGAAGGGGCTGAATTCTGAAATCCAAATGCTTCCTCAGCCAAAGCACCAATGCTAAAATATTTTTAGAGGCAGAATAAAAAAGAATGAAAAATTGCCGTTTAAAACAACATGGATGGACCTAGAGGGTGTTATGCTAAGGTATTATACAGCATTACAGGATATTATAAGTCAGACAGAGAAAGACAAATAGTGTATGATTTCACTTATATGTGGAATCTAAAACACAAATGAACAAACAAAACAGAACAAACTGGTGGTTGCCAGAGGGGAAGGGGGTGGTGGGGTGGACGAACTAGGTTAAGAAGCACAAACTTCCAGGTATAAAATATATGAGAATGTAATATACAGAATAGGGAATATAGTCAATATTATTGTAATAACCTTAAATGATGACAGATGGTAACAAGACTTACTGTGGTGATCATCTTGTAATGTATATAAATGTTGAATCACTATGTTGTACACCTGAAACTAATATAACATTGTATGTCAATTATACTTTAATTAAAAAAATATTTTCAGAGGCAGAGAGCAAAATTAAGACAAGGCACTAAATTGAAAGTCAAGAGTATTTTCAGTGGCAACAAATCTTAAGCAAGACCTCACTGTGCAACTCAGCTTCCCTCTGTAAAATAGAGAACTAGATTTTTATAACACCCCCCTCAAGATAAGTGACTAGACATCTAGAGTGCTTTGGGGTCATTCTGTGGACTGGCAAAGAATCCAGATGCAACCCCCCACCCCTGATATTCACCCTCTGCTGACATTCATTCCCTTTGCCTTCCCAGGCACAGGCCATGAAAAGGAATGACATCATTGACTTCAAGGCTTTGGAGAAAGAGCTGCAGGCTGCACTCGCTGCTGATGAGAAGTACAAACGGGAAAATGCTGCCAAGTTACGGGCAGTGGAACAGAGGGTGGCTTCCTATGAGGAGTTCAGGTCGGCTTACTGCCACTTTTCTCGGGCTCTCCTGTTATGGTTTACCATAGTGGATAAGAGCGTGCACTTGGAGTCAGACAATTGTGGGCTCAATCTTGGCCGTACCTTCTGCTACCTGTGTGATCCTGTGCAAGTTATTTAACCTATCTGAGCCTCTGTTCCTCATCCATAAGAGAGAGTAACCACTGTCATGATTAAATGTTATTGCACATAAGATTCTGAGCACAATATCTGGCACGTGGAAAGTGCTCAAAAGTTGTCAGCTATTGTTGCTGTTGTTGTTATTATCATTGTCATATTGGCCTGCCAACAGGTTCAGCCGGTATCACGCAAAGTCCAGCCACCTCACACCTACAGATGGCATTAGGTCCATCCCCTAATCTCTGTCCCTTGCCTGTAGGGGTATTGTCCTTGCATCACATCTGAAGCCGCTGGAGCCGAAGGACAAGATAGGAGGAAAGAAGACTGTGCCCTGGAACTGTCACACTATTCAGGGAAGGCCCTCCCAGGATGAAACCACTGAAATCTCCCCGGTAGGTGAGGCCCAGCAGGATTCTCTGCCTTAAACCTCCAACCCTGTTTTCTTATAACACATATGTTTTCCTTATTTCTCATGTAAAGCCAACAGAGGCAGGTTTCTGCCTCCAATCCCAGAAAGAAAAGCAACCAACGGGTGGTGAGGCCCAAACCAACCAGAACAAGTCAGAAAGGTGGGCTCGGCAGGCCCCTGTCGTTCAGTCCTTGTCCCACTCCCAGATCAGCTTTGGGTTGCTCTGCCTCGAGTTCTATGGTATAGAGCCTGTGACCCTCTGGCAGTGTCGGGAAGGAGATCCAGCCTGTCATATCCTTAATACTCATCTGGAGTTCCTTTCTCTCCTCCCGAGGTTTCCAATTACCCCCTCTCCTGCCCTGCCCAGAGTAAACTCTGACTTAGTCTTGCAGAGCAGGGCTATGTCCACATTCATCAGTAGGAAAAGTCTGGTACAACTGAGAGTCTCAAATCACAGCCTGGGTTCCTTGGGACCCTCCCTCCCCATCCCATCCCTTGTTCCCTCATCTGAAAATGAGGCCCACAGGGACCGCAGCCTTGCCAGTGCTCAGAGAGTGATACTAGAGCTCAGATGAAAATCCACAGGCTCCCCTCACTCTCACTGTCACAGAGCAGCTGGAGGAGCTCTGTACTCTCTTTCCTTCCTTTGCGATCCAGGAGAAAACACGCCTCCAGCCCGAGACCTCGGCTGAGTTCTACCGTGATTGGCGGCGATACTTGCGGAGTGGGTCAGAGCGCTACGAGGCCCTGCTGCAGCTCGGGGGCCCAAAGCTGGGCCGCCTCTTCCAGATGGATGTGGGGTTTGGACTCCTAGGGGAGATGCTGATGGCGCTGGCTGATCACGTGAGGCCAGCTGACCGGTGGGTGGTGCTGGGAATCCTGCGCAGCCTGGCCGGCACCGGCCGCTTCACCCTGAACCTGAGCCTGATGAGCCATGCGGAGAGAGAGAGCTGCAGAGCCTTGTTTCAGAAGTTGCAGGCCATGGGCACCCCCAGCCTGGAGGGGCGGGATCTGGGGGAGCAGCCTGGTGGGCTTCAGGAGGAGGAGAGTCTTCTGCAAGAGCTGCTGAGGCTGTACCATGTGGACTGATGGGAGCAGTTACCTTCAGAGGCCCCCAGTGGTCACTGGAGGCGTTTTTCGTTGTCTCGAGGGCTCTGCAAGACTGTAGTGAAGAGCCCACACCTAACTCCCTCTGGTCTTGGGAGTTTCACAACAAAAGCAGTAACTGAATTTTCCCTTTTCCTCCAGCCTCTTGGGGGCTCCATATTCTGAACTGTTAGATCCACAGGATGGTCAAGGGCCCAAGAAGTTGAAAGACGTTTGCTTCCCACCCTTAGAGTCTGCCAGTCTGCTAGCCCATGGCCCTGAGAGGTGGGTGAGCACCCAACCAAACACCGGTACCACCAGTTATAGCCTCCACTCAAAAAAAGGAAAAAGCAAAATTGTTAATCTTCCATGATAAATTAATACTGATCTCCATAGCTCTTAACAAGAGTATTTGTAACTGGAAACCAACAGAATGGACATTTAATCAATAAACGATCAAATGCTACCTCATTTGAGGTGCAGTATTTTTCTCTAGCTCCAGGGGCTGAGTTCCCGTGCAGGTTGGGCCTGGGAAAACCCCAAGCCATCAGCTCAGGCCTGGCCAGCCTCCCAGGCATCTTCAGGTGGCCAGATGTGCAGGTAGGAGGGTTGCCTTCAACTCCTGGATTAACCAAAGGGAGGACCTTTCCACCGGGCAGGCAGGGCAGGGCCTGGAACAGAGAGGCAGAGATTCCCCTGTCCTGGTACCTGGGCCCTTGCTTCTTATTCTGGCTTCCCCTGACCCATTCTTGAGTGAGTGCCAGTGTTCTAGAAAGGGGACAAAGGGCCAGGTTCTAGAATGGTTTTCCCTCAAGATCACGTCCGGAACGTTAGAAGGGCATCTTGTACATCCACTGGGAATAAATTGCCTTGTCTGTGGCAGCTTCCTCTGCAGATTGTTGCTTCTTTTCCTGGCTGCTGAATCCTTTCCTCATCTAGATGCCTCCTCCCAGCAGTGATTTCTAGAAGCCCCATAGGCCTTTAGTGCCTAGGTTCTGCCCCGCCCCCTCTGACTCTTCTCTCGCGCAGGCATGAACCTGGCCCAGGCCACTGTGCTCCTGTGGGTGTTGGGGAGCCTCCAGGCCTTTGAAATCGTGGAGAAGGAGAACATTTTTCAGAGGACCCCCTGCCCAGCGTTCCTGATGTTCGACAATGCAGCCTACCTGGCTGACATGAGCTTCGAGCTCCCCTGCCACTGCAAGCCCGAGGAGGTGTCCGCTGTCGTCTGGTACTATCAGAAGCACCTCGGCAGCGGCCACACCAAAGTGCTGACGGACTTTGATGGGCGGGTCCTGACGGAGGCAGCCCAGGTGCGCGTGGGCAGCGACATGCTGGTCCGCTTCAGCATCCACATGTTCAGCCTGTTGGTCTTCCGGGCGCAGCCCGGGGACTCAGGCTTGTATTTCTGCGGCACCCGCAAGGGGGACTACTTTTACGCCTACGACGTGGACATCCAGAGCAGTGAGAGGATGGTGGCCACCTTCGAGGACCAGGGCCAGGAGCCCTTCGCAGATGAGTACCACGGGAGCCTCCGTGTCTTCACCACCTTCTGGGAGTGGACCCCCTGCGACCGCTGCGGGGTGCGCGGGGAGCAGTGGCGCATTGGCCTGTGTTACCTGCAGAGCCCAGGCCTCTCCCCCCGCTACCGCAAGACACTGCCCGACGTGGTGTCCTGTGGTTCACGGGCTGTGCCCAGGCAGCTCCGGGCCAAGGCCAGAGACCACGTCCCCGAGCTGCTGCTTCGGAGCTGCCTGGTGCCCTGCGAGGAGAAGAAGAAAATCCAGGAGGGTGTGATGGCCCTCTTCAGCTACGTGGCCAAAGTGGGCAGCCGGCCCTGGTTGCCCCCGGTGCCCATTCAGTTCCACCAGCAGAGGCTGGGCCATGGACTAATCATCTCCTGTCCCGGGGCCCGGCCGGAGCATGCCGTGGCCTGGGACAAGGACCAACAGTACCTCTACCGCACGCAGTACCTAAAGGGCGTCAACAGGTCCATGAGGGTGTTCATCGACCACGGCAACCATCTCCACATCCGCTTCACCCAGCTGGAAGACCGGGGCATCTACTATTGCTGGCGGCAGGGCGTGCGCATCGCTGGGCTCCGACTGGGCGTGACATCTCGAGGCCGCTACCCAGTCTCGTTCTCCAACCCCGAGATTCGGGCTGCCCTGGTGCTCACCCTGATAGGCTACCTGCTCATCACGGCAGTCTTCATCACTATTCACCTCTGTCGTTGCTGCTGTTACTTATTCCGCTGTTATCCCAACTTCTCCCCCTAGGCTCTCTCTTCCCAGCTCTGAAGACCAGTTGTGCTCAAATGTGTTTGTTAAATGGTACCAGATGCCTCTGGATAGGCATCCTGAGCTGGGATGTGTGGCAGGGCATGTGGACAAAGTTGTTAGCTATAACCTGCTCCCTGCTGTCATGAGCGAGTCTGAGACCCAATCCGGGAAGTGGGGAGGCCCGAGGCTGGTGGGAGATGGGGGACTGGAGCGAGATGGAAGTAGCCAGGGTGCACGTGTCTTCTGACTTCAGAGAAGGAAGAATTCTTGTGAACCTAACATTTATCACCTGTCTGGTGTTGAACAGTGTTTAACGTGCTTTATTTTCTTGCCTTCGAGGATTGCTAAGTGGGCGGTTTGAATTGGGGGTAGCAGAGGGAGGAAGAAAAGAGTCGGGGTACCTGGTGTGTATCCTCTTTCCCAGCCTCATCCTGGGACTGGCAAGTAGAAATGGTGAGTTTGGGAATACAGGTAGAGACTACAACAGGGGAAATGGGTGAGGAAATTGGAGACTGAATTCAGGACTTTCCTGCCAGATTGCACCCAGGCTGGGGGCTGGGGGTGAGAAGAGGGGTGGGAAGCAAAGGCTGTGGGGTGCCGGCAGCAGGGCTGCAGGGCAGAGCAGGGCTGGAGATGGGATTTGTCATGTGGCCACTGCTGGGGGTGGCTGGGTGTCCCAAGATGATCAGTGATAAGAAGCAAGTTGTGTCTTGTCCAAGGCTACTTCCTGCCCCCTTCCCCCAGCCCCAGCCTCTGCCGAACAGATCAGAGTCCACTCTGGGGAAAGCCACAGCAGTTGTCTTTATTTATGTCAGTGACTAAAGGCAGCAATGGTGCCCCAAAGGTTAGCAGCAGTGGGTGGCAGGAGGGAGTAGGGGAAGGGCACCAGTCTTAGAAAGAGGGAGGGACTCCTACTTCTCCCTCCCTCTGCCTTAGAGGGAGATGGGGACCCTGGAGCGGGCCTCTGAGCTCCACTTGTGGGCACTGATCATCTCGTGCCCGCCAGTCTTCCCATGGGCCGCAGAACAGGTGCTCGGGGTGAAAGTCTCTGCCCCAAGCTGTCCTGCCTCTAGGCTTCAGGAACACAAACCAGTGTCTTCACTCTGCGTGCGTCTCGGGTTCCCAAATTATGAAATAGGGTGCTACCTACAACACGGGGGTACGTTTTGTATTTGACTACGAGGGGACAACAGGGGCCTTGGCTTAGAGAGCAGCGGTCACTGTGGGGAGGAGGGGCTCGGGCGTGCAGCAGAGGCTTTGCCTAGCAGTATTTGCTGGGGTCAGGCGGCAGCTGCAGCAGCTCCCAGGCCTGGGTGGACAGGGATTACGCAGCCAGGAGAGGGCCTTTAGAGCTGGGACAAAGTGGGCCCTGCCCCCAGGACCAGCAGCCTCTTTCTTTCCTGTTTCACCATCTTCAAGAGGATGAGTCACTTTCCTGATTCCCACGACCCAGAGGCCAAGTGTAACTGCTCACTCACAGCCCCCCACTCTGATGTCTGGCCTCATCCCAACCGCCTCCTCTACCATCTCTACCTGCCCCCCTCCAACCTGTATGGGGTGGGGGGAGTCCTCCTGGGCTTGACCTCTCTGTGCCCACAGCTCGGGGCCAGGCCCCCTTCTACTCCCTCCCAGCACCCCTTCCCTCACCACTTACACTGTAGTTCCCCCAAATGCTGAGAATCAAGCTCCCACGGGCCCACGGCATGCCCACGTGGCAGCTCGGTGGGGCTGAGCCGCTTGAACCCTCACTCAGGAGGCCCCTCTGCAATCTGGGCAGCCCAGGAATTCTGTCTGGCGACTACTCCAGGTGGCAGGATAGCCCCACCCATCCTCAGACTGGTCAGAGTCAGTCTAGAAGAATAAGCCCCTGGCCAAGGCCTCCTTGCCTGTGGGGATTCCCCTGCCTGTCTCAGAGTCTCGGATTTCCTCCACCAGCCTGAGGAAATTCAAAGGCCCCATTCCCAGATACCCCCAGACACCTCCGGCTCTGGCAACAGTTGCCATGACAACAGGGATTCGGGATGCGGAGGGTGATTTATTAGGTCTCCCTGCCCTCCCCAACTTCTCTCCTCCCTCCCAATTCTAACCCAGGCTGCTGGCCATGCCCCTCCAGGCTGCCCCTTTGGAGTGAGTGCCCTGTTAGAGTTGCTGGGTGCTGGGTGGGTGCTGTCTGACAGGCTTAATGCTGATGGAGCCTAGGGCAGCAAGCTGACATAGAGACTGAGGGGGAAAAGGAGCAGCTGGGGTGGGTGGGAACTCAAGTCTGGGGAAATTAACTAGCAGAGGAGAGGCAACTACCCCAACTCCTGCTGCAGGCCCCTCATACTGTGGGGCAGGGACCACCAGGTGGGTCCTGCCTCACATCACATCCTTGTGCTCCTGCTTGGACTCCTTAATGACCTGCAGGGGACAGAGAAGGTGCCACGGTTAGGTTAGGAGCTCACACAGACTCCAGGTCCACCACAGCTAGGCTATGGACCTAGACAAGTCCCCCGCCTTCCTGGGTCATCTTTTCTATGATAGTAGCCGGAACACCCCCATGCAGCAGTCAGAGGGGGAGATGAGGTAACACGGGCAAACAACTAGCACCGTGCCTGGCACATGGTGAGCTGATCTTGTAAGATTAGCTGGTACTGTTGCTGGTGTGATGGGGAGGGGGTTATGACCAATCCCCCCATCCCATTCTTCTGCCAGGTTCCTTTCACCAAGCTGCAAGTTGCAAGTTGGGAGTGAAAGCTACTAACTTTAATTTTCTTTCTCTCTCCCCCAGGCCTGGCATGGGGGCACCTGAGTCTGAGGGTGAGACAGGGAGAAAGCTGGAGTCAGGACCCCATCCAGTGGTATAGGCACCCAGGATCCCCTTAGAACTGCCAGTGGAGGGGCTGGGGAAATGAATTACATCCGGGTTCCTTCCCCTCTTGCAGAGCCTCCCAGAGGAGCTCTTTGTGAATCATCAACAACCTTCTATGTGCCAGTCAAGCTTTCTTCCAGAGTCTGCTGGGGCCAGAATCTGGGATCCACCCTCCTCACCTCTCCGTCCCGCATCTCCACGGTCTTCACCACGATGTTCCTCTTGAGGTGGCCTTCTGTCACGGAATTGGTGTCCAGGCTGGTTTCTGCAGGCATGAGGAGAGGAAGCCTCCATGGGCTTTCAGGGCACTAGACATCCTCTCCCGCCCTCGGTTTCACCATGAAAGCCCCAATCATGAGTACAAAAGCCTAGCCAATCGGGCAGAGAGGGCATAGGCTCTTCCAAAGGGGCTGACAACCTCCTAAGTCCCCATGGTGCTGGGAAAGTCCTTGCTGCCCTGCTCACTCTCCTGGCCTGGCTGCATTTCAGCCCCTCTGCAAGCCCTCACCTGGCCCCTGGCTTCCTGACGACCCAGCGCCGTGCCAAGGAAGGAGCACGTGGGTTTTGAAGTCAGGCAGGCCAGAACTTGAGTCCCAGCTCAGCCACATGACTGTGGGCAAGTTAATTTACCTCTTCCAGGCTCAGTGTCCTCATCTGCAAAATGGGGATGCTGTTGTCTACTTTTCTACGTGGGAGTGAGAAGTCAGTTAACTGGAATAATGTTTGTTAAACAACGGGCACATATTAGTGCTCAATACACGTGGGTCCCTTTCCTGTCCTCCTTCCTCTTTCCTACTTCTCTCTGCCTCTTCTCTGGGCCCTAGTGACCCTTTTCTATCTGGCATTTGGCAGTATTGCCTCTACCTGGTCTGCCTGGTTAACCCTTCTGATGCTGAACTAAGCCCTGGGACATGCATAGCTAGTGTTCCTAAATTTCTAGCCCAAAAGAAAGAAGAATTTATTTTTCCTTAGCTAAGAATCATTTGAGGGCCACATACACTCTCTTTTCCCCTCCTCAGAGAGAAAAATATAACATGTCACACTCACTAATATTTAAAATTAAGAGCAGGGGACATAAAACTTTATTCACTCCAAGAGCAGCAGTCCAGGGGGAAATAACCCTCTAGGTTGAATCATCACTGAGCTGAGCAATGGAGCCTCAGGGACAGACGAATCAGGCAGAGAGCCTGGCCGCCGGGCACAGCGAGACCCTAGGGGCCCTCCCAGTGATGGGAAAGAGGTGAGGCAGAGGCTGGCATTTGCTCAGAGGCCCCAGAGTATCTCATCTGCGCATCCGAGGACTGATCACCTTGAACACCGGCCAACTCTGCTACTTTAACCTACATTTACCCTGTGCCAGGTCCTGGGCTGGGTGCTGAGGTTGCTGGGAAAATGACACAGGCTTGGCCCTTTAAGGAAACCTGGGAGGAGGAGGGAGCCCAAGAGGATGGGGAAAGTGGGTTTGGTGAGGCTCGCTCCCTATCAAGCTGGGAAGAGCACCGTGTCTAGAAGGCAGGCAGGGCAGGCAGCTAACCGAGAGCCGAGCCGGCGGGGGCTCCATTTACAATCTGGTGAGCCTGTATTGGTATAACCTGTATTGTGAGTCTTTTGAGGTGTCTTGTGACCTTGTGACCTTCCCCTTCTTTGGTGCTTTTGCCCCCTGTAGTGATAAGCAGTTAAAAAAAAAAACACACAAACATCAAACACTTGGATGGGCAGAGCTTAATCAGGGATCTGCAGATAGGACAGAGGTTGAGACCGTCACCCAGTTCTGCAATGGAATGGGGGGTGGGGATGGAGGTGGGGGGTGGGACAAAGGGCAGAGCAGGCTGCAAGTCCCACCTCGAATGCTCTGGGATGGTGTGTTCTGGCTAGAAGTTCTGCGGTGAATCATGAAGGTCCCCATGGAGAGCCCCAGGCCCTGGTCCTGGGCCCCAGGCCAGAACAGCAACCCACAGGCCTGGGGGAGGGGGCAGGAATCCAACACTCTGCCCACAAGACCCTGTTCTACTGACCTCGGATCTGCAGGTTGGAGAAGGTCTGCACAGGAATGGTGATGCTGAAAGACAGCAGAGAGAGAGAGGGGTGACCAGGCTGCCCGAGGGTATCCCCAGGCCAGGATTTCATGACAGCTTTGAGGCTTTTTTCCTTGCCAGGAAAGGCCGACCCCATCTTTTAGCTTCCCCAGCAGCAAACACACTCCTTGGAGCTACCAAAGCCGGCAAGGGGCCTGGATATTGTGAGGGGAACATCTCTTTTCAAAAGAGAGTGGATGCCTGGAGGATGGCAGAGGGGAGGGAAGAGTGGCGAAGAGAATTCCCAGGAGGCAGAAGACACTGGTCAGGGGAAAAGAAGTCCGATTTTTGTTGGGAGGGTGGGGAGTGAGCCTCAGTTTGGGAGGTTACCCGAGTCCTTACTCTGGGACCTAATCAACATGGGCTGAATTGAATCCGTTCACTCATTCATCAGACATTCACTGAATACCAACTGTGTGTCAGGCAAGCACTGTGCTGGGCACTGGGATAGGAGGGAGCTGGACGCAAGACTGAATGAGACAGTCCCTGAAGGGAGCAAAGCAACTCCAGGGAGGGGCCAGCAGGGAGGGCTGCTAGGCAGGCCTCACCGGTTCTCTTCGCCCTCCAGCAGCTTCCTGTAGGTGGCGATCTCGATATCCAGGGCCAGTTTAACGCTGAGCAGGTCCTGGTACTCCTGCAGGTGGCGGGCCATCTCGTCCTTGAGGCTCTGCCCCTCCTCTTCCTGCCGGGCCAGCGCCTCTAGGTAACTCGCCGCCTCCCGCGCGTGGCGCTCGTCCTGCTCCCGCATCTGCCTCTCCAGGGACTCGTTCTGTGGGTGGAGTCGGCTGGTTTCTCGAGGCCCCGCCCCGAGTAACTTCAGAGCTCCGCCCCCAGCCCTGGTCCCAGACCCTGGCCCTTTTCCAGCACCTCCTAGGGCGGCAGGTCCCGTCCTCCGATTCGCCAGCCTCCGCTCACGGACCCCTTCCGCCCCGCCTCTGGCCCTGCCCGCGCTCACCGTGCCGCGCAAGGACTCCAGGTCGCAGGTTAAGGCCTGCAGCTGGCGCCGGTAGTCGTTGGCCTCGTTCTTGGCCTGGCGGAGCAGCTCCGCGTTGCGGGCAGCGGCGTCCGTCAAGTCCGCAAACTAAATGGGGAGAGGGCTTTATGCTGAGGGGAGGGCTGGGGAGCTTATGGCGGGAGCTGTGCGGGCCCGTGGGGAGGAAGATGTCTGGAGGATCAGGGAGATGGGCGGGACCCCAGGGTTGTTCAGCTCACCCCAGCCAATGGCCCTGGGTGGGATTATTCGCAGCGACTGCGGCCCGTGGACCGGGGACACAGAAGACACTGCTACGCCTCTAGCACCTAGCACAATGCCTGGTCAGGGAATGCAGGAATGAACAGTGTTTGCCGCGGAATCCAGAATCTCCAGCACTGGCAGCTCCATCCGCGTGACCGAACCCTGTCCTTCTCCATCTTACACAGGGGATTCTGGTGAGCAGAGCTCTGTATTCTAATAGCCCTGCTGCAGTGAAGCCCTCAGGGCTCCATCACATCTTGCCCTGCTCAGAACCATCACTGGCTTCTGCCACTTACACTCCTCAGCTCCACGCCCTGGCCCAGCATCTCTGGGCCCCTACCTCTTTGTGCTTTTCGGCCGCTACTCAGGCTCTGTCCTGCACTCTGAACGCCCCTTTCCTCTTTACTTTATGTTCACAGGCTTCCAGTCCTGCCTGGCCCCAGTGCCCTCCCTTCTATGATATCCTTCCTGTCCCCACATTGTATATAAACTCTGCCCTGCTGTGTTCTCCGTAGACCTCATTATTGAGTGACGTAACATCTCCCTGGTCAGACATGTCTCTGTATCCTGGGCAGAGCTGGAGATGTAGTAGATGCTCAATAACCCAGAATACAGACACATCAAGAATGCAGGCTTCCAAGTGAGATAGCTAGGGTTAGAAATCCAGCTCTACTGCTTAGGAGCTGTGTGACGTTGGGCAAGTTGGTTAACCTCTCTGGACTTTAGTTCTCTCATCTATCAAAGAACAGTACCTACTTCATGGTAAAATAATCCATGCAAAGCACAGGGCCTAATACACAACAGTGTTGGCTAATAGTAATAGCAATAAGTACTAATAAGTACTTATTGGAAATAATAGTGCCTGTGTAGCCCCGGGCAAGTCACCTCACCTCTCTGGTGAAGGTCAGTCACTCAGAGAGGATCCTCCCCCAGCTTCCTCCACCCTCCTTCCCCAGTTCTTTTGTATGGAGCCAGGAGGGCTGCCTGGAGGAGGCAGGCTGGCCCAAAGTCAGGGCTACCTTGGAGCGGTACCACTCCTCCGCCTCATGTATGTTGCTGGATGCCACTGCCTCGTACTGTGTCCGGATCTCTCTCAGGGCTGCTGTGAGGTCGGGCTTGGCCACATCCATCTCCACGTGGACCTGCTGCTGAGCCAGCTGCTCCTGGAGCTCCCGCACCTCCTGGCCAGGGTGAGAGAAGGGATGCCAGGGCTCAGGGATCAGGCTGCACCTGGGGTTTCCCCACAGCATCATGCCCTCTTCTGTCTGTCCCTCGGACACAGAAGTTGGCTAAGGGAGATGGGCATTCCTAGTTGGAGGAAATGGCATGGCCCAGGCTAAGGGAGGCGGGGGTAGTTTGGGGGTCTCATGGTGTCCTCCTCCCAGGCCTGGAAGGCAGGAGCACTGAAAGTGTGCCTGTGTTCTTGTGGGAGAGTGACTGAGTCCTTGTGGTGTGGGTGTGCCTGTGGGTTCCCAGGTTCCCTGAGGCCCTGGATTCCGCATCCATTATCTGAAGTCAGAGCTCAGCGAGGGCAGGGGGTTTGTTCGTTTGTTTGTGTGTGTGTTTTTATGTATGGCTCTCATTTAAATGGAGACAGATGGCAGAGGGAATGGAGTCAGAGAGACTAACTGTGTGACCTTAGCAAGTTCTTTAACATCTCAGGGCTTCAGTGTCCTCCTCTGTGAAAAGGAGATAACACTGGAATGGTCCCTATCTCACACGGCTGTAGTGAAGAAAAACAGGAGGCAACAAGGCCTATTGTAATTCTCAGTAAGTGGAGTGTGTGTCTGTGTGCATTTTACCAGGGGCGGGAGATGCTCTCTTGTCTATCATTTTGCACCGCCGCACCACGAGGCATGTGAATTCCCCAGCCAGGGATGGACCCCGTGCTCCCTGCAGTGGACGCACACAGTCCTAACCACTGGACCACCAGGGAAGGCCCTGTCTTTATCTCTATCTCCCTTAGTCTCTCTCTGTATCTCTCTCTGTCTTTTCTCTCTCATTTTCTTTCTCTCTCTGTCAGTCTGTCTCCTCTCTATGTCTGAATGTCTCTGTCTCAGTCTCTGTCTCTCTGTCTCTTTTCCTCAGTTCCACTCTCTGTTGGCCTTTCCTCCCTCTGCCCTGGCCTTACCTCCTCATGGATCTTCCTCCAGAACCGGATTTCCTCCTCCAGAGACTCAGTCTTCCTCTCCAGATCCAGACGGCCCAGGGTGGCTTCATCTGCCTCCTGGAGTAGGGAGGAAGCAAAGGGCCCCTCTGACCCCAGACTCCTCCTCCCCACTCCCTAGTCTTATCTGATCCCTCCTTTTGTGGCTGCCGGGAGCAGCACACTGCTCTGGAGGGCTGGGCTTGGGGGCTGTGTTTGGGTGGGCTGCCATCAACACTTCCCCCCCCCCGGCCCCTCCCCTCTACCACCCTGACCTGTCGATAGGCAGCCAGGTTGTTCTCAGCCTCCAGCCTCAGGTTGGTTTCATCCTGGAGCCTGGGGTAGGGGGACACATTCCTGGGTCCGGGCTCTTCTGAGGACTATTGGACCCCTGCCCTAACCTCCCTGGAGGTGGCTGCCAGAGAACCGCCCCCGCTCCCTCCCAGGACCAATGTGAGTGGCAAGAGGAGTGAGGGGCAGATGGACTTGGCCAGGTGGGTGAGCAGACAAGGGCCTTTGCTCTAACTCATTACCAAGGTGCCTTATCAGGGTTGCTGCACCTGCTCCTGCTCACACAGGCGCTTCCACCAATGTACACTCACTGCTGCACACACACCACACACACGCACACACACCACATACACACCACACACACACACCACACACCACACACCACACACACCACA